ACACACACACACACACACACACACACACACACACACACACACACACAGTCGACGTGATTGGTAAATACAGTCATTCCTTTACGGGTGTCTGGACACCAGCCAGTGTAAACTCGTCTCAGAGGATTCAGAATGTAGAGATATTTCCGACAATACATTATTATTATACAGAGTTATAAAAAGTTTATATTAACTGTATTTGAAGAATATTATGTGGCCTGTAAGCAATGCTTATTCTTAAAATAAGTACATTAACATAATTTAATTGAGGACGAAAATATGAAAATATGCTGATTTGACATGTTTTCCACGCAGCCTTAAGCAAACCCTTCATTGGTGGATGCTACATGTAACATTCAGATAAACAACTACCTTTATCTCAAAACTCCTCATTTGTCAGCATAAATATTAAGTTTGCTATTAAAGCAAAAACTTCAGTGCGAGAAGACGACATGTTGAGTGCAATTGAAGGTGATTTGGGTTAATTTAATAGATTTTAGATATATTTAATGGATCACTTCACATTAATAAATCATTACTGCATCTGTAAATCTGCACAAACATATTTACTAGAGCCGCTGTAAATCAAAATTAAAATATATATTTCTTAAATCCCTCGACCGTTTTACGATTTGGCTTTTTGGGAGACGAATAAAGGTTTAATTCGCAGTGAATGCATGTTAGCGTCACTCAACATGGTGTAAGCTACACAGTTAGCATAAAGCCCATCACTCAACATTGTGTAAGCTACACAGTTAGCATAAAGCCCATCACTCAACATGGTGTAAGCTACACAGTTAGCATAAAGCCCATCCCTCAACATTGTGTAAGCTAAACAGTTAGCTTAAAGGCTATCACTCAACATTGTGTAAGCTAAACAGTTAGCATAAAGCCCATCACTCAACATTGTGTAAGCTAAACAGTTAGCATGAAGCCCATCCCTCAACATTGTGTAAGCTAAACAGTTAGCATGAAGGCCAATACTTAACTCATTGTCTAAGCTAAACAGTTAGCATAAAGCTCATCACTCAACATTGTGTAAGCTAAACAGTTAGCATGAAGGCCACCACTTAACTCATTGTCTAAGCTAAACAGTTAGCATAAAGCCCATCCCTCAACATTGTGTATGCTAACCTGTCAGCCCAGAGCCTCCAAACCTTTAAATTGTTAGCATCTCTTAACATGCTGCACTATCAATACCACTGTTAATGCTGCCAGGACACATCCAACACACATACACACGGTACATATACTAGTGTACAATAACACAAACGCACTCTCACATGCATCACAATATGTGCGTCAGGCCTGCTGCAGTCACACCTACTAAACAACATGAAGCAGTGGAGCTTCAGAAGCCCGCAGCCTGCATTCATTTGTTTATATTATCACCCACACTGCCGTCAGGGCGGCCCGGCTGCTCCCACACACACACACACACACTTCAACATACACTACTTTCCCCCAGGCTGAAGGGCTGCTGCTCTGTATCTGACCCCTGACCTCCCCACAGATATTTCCCCGCAGTCAGCAGCACATCATAAGACGTCATGCAGGAGTACATACAGTAGCAGCAGTAGTGTAAGGATATGAGTGGACCAGGATCTTGATGGCGATTCTGCGGATGGGGTTGAAAGGGCTGAAGATGTAGAGAGCTGACGTGGCAGTGAAGCGGAAGATGGCCTTCCCTTTGTTCAGGACTATGAAGGTCTGCAAGAGAGACAGAACAACACGTTCATCAAAGAGACGGAGTAAGCAGAGATGATTGGGTTTAATTAATTAGGGGCTCTTATGATACGAAATATTACGATAAGATGCAATAGGACACGACGGGATAGGACAGGACACGATACCACACAATAAGATACGAAATGATAAGACTTGATACAATACAATACAATAGGATACGATACACAACAAAATTATAAAACTCAATACGATTCGATTCTAAAGGATGGGATGGGATACGATGCGCTAAGATTCAATACGGTAAGATTAGGGATGTTTGTCTTGGACTCAAATGCTGCACACATGATGTGACACATGTCACATTATCATCATAGCTGCCTCCAGAGTAGAAAATAAAAAGAAACAGACAAACAACATGTACATGTGATGTTCTGATTGTTTTTTCTTCACCTGGAGGTGTTCAGGTGCTTAAAAGACAATTACAAAAAGCCGCCCTTGGTCTGATCAGAGCCGGTCAGATGATAACGAGTGTCACGCTTCAGCGGATTGTTCTTACTCCAGCTGAGTCGGTCCACCGTTACGTGGCTGACTTGAGGGGCTTGGCTATCCTCTGTAAGTTTGGAGCACTGGAGGATGAGCTGATGGAGGACCAGCTGGCTGAATGCACAAATAACCCGAAAGCAAAAAAAAAACAAAGACGCTGCCACCGTCCCCTGATGACCTCACACCAAGACCGAGGAAACAGCATTTCAGGCTGAATCTACGGTCGGATTAGCATCTAGAAAGAAGGAGAAAGTTAAAGCTAAATTGTTTAATTAGTGTAACACAACATGAACACAGGCTCGGAGGTGCTGAGCGTGTTTTGTTTGTTCCTGCAGAGCATTTCTGGTTTGAACCCGGAGGAAACGCACCTGAGCTAAAGAGAGAGAGAGCAGGAATGGAAAGGGGGAAGTAATCCCTCAAGAGACACGTCGCGACAGAGAGAAGACAGGAACTGAAACTTGTTGCGTCTTGGTTTGTTTACGTTCTGTTGCTCCAGTTATTTTATTTTACATAGTGTTTGTTATCTCCATGCCTTCTAGTTTGGTCAATTCCAGCTTGAATCACGTCTCCTCTGTCTTATTTTTGCTGGTTTAGCGGCTGCAAAAGCTGCACAAAGCTTTTGTGAATTCGCCCCTGAGAGTTTAAAACTGTGGACGACGAGACAAACTCGCTCGGTCACCTCCCCCTCTGGTCTTCAGAGAAGTAGGCTACCAAAGAGTCCATTTATCTTCCAGGGATTCTCCAACAAGGGGAGACGGGGTAACACCTTCACACACACACACACACACACACACACACACACACACACACACACACTCTCTCTGTGGGTCACCTACCCTCTTGTCTTTGAAGTAGTACTGGTCGATGTCCTCCAGGGGAACACCCACCAGATGAGACGGGATGTCGGCGAAGATGCGCGGCAGCTGTTTTCCTGCCTCCAGGTCGGGCCGGCGCCGGGGGAGCACCACGTCGCCCAGGTCCTAACACACACACGCACACACACACATACACACACAAACACACACACGTTGCATATTTGCATATAAAGTGGCTTCACTTTTTACACACTTTATTGGGTTATAGATGTCATTTTAAATAAAGTGCCAGAGCAAAAGGACTGAATACCTATTGTACATCATTTTAATTTTAATTTTCTTCTATTCTATATTGATGTTTCTTGTACATATGTTTCATAGAATTGTTTTTATAATTCATATCTCACATGTCTGCCTGCTGAAGCTTCCTTACTTATCTACATTTTATTCAGCTTTTAACCTCAAATATTTAATTCCTTCTGGCTTATCTTAATATTAACAATGCTTATAAGTTGTGATTGTCAGGTGTGTGTGTGTGTGTGTGTGTGTGTGTGTGTGTGTGTGTGCGCGCGCGTGTGTGTGTGTGTGCGTGTGTGTACACCTCCTGGTAGTGTTTGCTGCGTCGGGCCCTCTCCTGGGCGATGCGCTGCTCGATGGCCGCCAGGGAGTCCGGCGTGAAGCGCTGAAAGCTCTCTGGTCCCATTGGAAACACACAGCCAGCCATCTTCTCATCCTGATCCTGCTGCTGACTGGCCCAGTTTACCAGCTGGAACAATCAATATGGAAACCAATAATCAATAATGATGACAAACAACCCTTTAACATCCTTAATTCAGCAACAGTTAAAATATTATAATATTTCAGTCAAACGAATTTCCCTCAAGCTTCAGTTTCCTTCCTCTACCTCAGTGAGTGGTTTCCTACATTACCCAGAGTGCCTTTCACCAGCATTGCTACAGAACTCCATTCATCGTGAACATGCATGTGTGTGTTAGCAAGCTTTAAACATTGAATTCAAACTGCTGTTTCAATGTTCGGTTGTCAGACTTGACTCAAGTTCTACAGACTTAAGATCACGACCGTTTCAGAGCAAACAGGTGTTTCAGTTTAACGAGTGACCGTGTTAACTGGTGACTTTCAGCCAAATGCTCGTTGTAACTTACGTAAATGGTTGGTTGTAGATAATAAACACAGATAAATCTGTATTTAAAATATTTCAAGATCTTTTCCTAAACCTATATTTCACGATCTTTTCCTAAACCTAACTAAGTATTTTAACGATCTTTTCCTAAACCTAACTAAATATTTCACGATCTTTTCCTAAACCTAAGTATTTTAACGATCTTTTCCTAAACCTAACTAAATATTTCACGATCTTTTCCTAAACCTAACTAAGTATTTTAACGATCTTTTCCTAAACCTAACTAAATATTTCACGATCTTTTCCTGAACCTAACTAAGTATTTCACGATCTTTTCCTAAACCCAAATTAATTATGTCATGATCTTTTCCTAAACATAACTAAATATTTCACGATCTTTTCCGATTCATCAACAACTCCAGACATTAAAAATATATCCTGCAAAATACTTTGTTTCCATCATCTATTTTATGTGGAAATATTTAAAAGTAACAGATTATAAATCAAGTGCTTCTGACCCTTTAGGACCCTGGGGAGTGGCTGCTAAGACGAAGCTGTATGTGCGTATACAGTCTGATGATTATGGGATGTCGAGGTAATGAAGTGCAGGCCGACAATAGTGTCTCATCAACACGAGTTTAGAGTTACACTGAGAGAGACATTGACTACAGGATTACACAGAGTTTGAGAGTGTAACAGGTGTGTGTGTGTGTGTGTGTAGGTGTGTGTAGATGTGTGTAAGTGTGTGTGTGTGTGTAAGTGTGTTTGTGTGTATGTGTGTGTGTCCAGACCATCTGCCTCGGACCCTAATTGAATGATTAGACAGGCCTCGTTTTTCAACCCTTCATGCATTTATTCTTCACAGCTCCCAAATCTGATTTCTGAAGTGTGTGTGTGTGTACGTAAACGTGTGTGTGTGTGTGTGTCCACATCAAAGGAAAATCCAGCTCTGTTTTCCATCCTTATCAAAAGCTGTCATCCACTCATTCTCTCTCTCTCTCTCACACACACACACACACACACACACACACACACACACACACACACAGGCTGGTTCCATTCTGCTGAGGCTCTCGGTCACGTACACTCTCTCTCTTATTTGAGTCTTTACGTGTCAGGACCTGGTCTCTGTAACAGGAGATCCACAGTCAAAGTGGGCTTCCTTACCTCCTTTCCTCTCCTGTCCTCTACTTCCTTTCTATATTCCCTCCTTTCCTTTCCTTCCCTCCCTCCTTCTTTCCTCGGCTACCTCCTCCTTTCCTTCCCTCGGCTACCTCCTCCTTTCCTTCCCTCCCTCTTTCTTTCCTCGGCTACCTCCTCCTTTCCTTCCCTCCCTCTTTCTTTCCTCGGCTACCTCCTCCTTTCCTTCCCTCCCTCTTTCTTTCCTCCTCTGTTCCTTCTCAACCTTCTTTTAAACTTTTCGTCCCTCCTCTACCTCTCCTTCGCTGTTCTAGCTCCTCTCTCCTGGCCTACTTCCTCTTTCCTTGTTTGCCTCCTCATTCCTCTCCCTCTCACACCCTAAAGTGAGCTCACGCCTCTGATCTGAGGTCTTGGGAGACGTTTCCTGACTTTAGTCTGGTCTTAAAGTGGAGTTGAGGACTAAGTGGAGTTCAGCAGAGTCTCTCAAGCTCTCTGCTCCTCCTTCAGCTTCAGGCTGAAACATCAAATTACCAACAGACACTTTCATATCCGCTCTCTGTTTCTAATGAGCTTCCTGTTATTCCTCATTGTGTCTTTGTGTTGTTGTTGACAACTTTTCTTCTTCTGTGTTTTAGCCTCAAACTGAAAGCAGACCTTTAGCTTCTTAACAAAGATGTATTTTGTGTTTAATGTGAGTAGTACTACACAGAGTACTGCATAACAACACATCAGCGGAGTTCTCCTGCTAATGTCAGCTGCCTTGCTCAAGGGCAGACTTTGATTCACTCACAACACAAAGAAACAGTTTGATGTGGAAAAATAAGAGACACCGAGAAAGAGGAGAGGAAGTTATATAACTAAATAAATAAATAATACAAATTATAAAAATCTCGGTCAAAATACTGACACGGATGATTAAACAAGCCCCGCCCCCAGAAACGTCACACACACACACACACACACACACACACACACACACACACACACACCCTTTGTAGTTTTGTAGATTTAATTTTTCTTATCAATCAACACTCTATAACCCCAAATGACAAAAGTAAAAACGTGTTTTTTTGTAAATGTTTAAAAATCTAAAATGGAAATATCTCATTTACATCATCAGAATTGGATTTATTGCCAAGTAGAGTAAAAGTAAAATTAAGGTAAATATTGCATAAGTCAAGAAACAGAAGAAAAATACTGTGAAACATGAAAGAAACACGATAAATATACAAGAAACACACAGAATACAAGAAAAATATAAATACAAAAAATGAATTACAAAAATGAAACACTACAAAACATATGTGTAAGAAACATAAATATAGATAAACAGAAGAAAAATACTATTAAAATATGAAAAATACTATAAATAAATATGCACAATAAATGTTCAGTCCTTTTGCTGTGGCGCTGTATTTAAAATGACATCTATAACCCGATATAGTGTGTAACAAGTGACAGAATGTAAAGTGAAGCCACTGTATATGTAAATATGCAGTGTGTGTGTGTGTGTGTGTGTGGTACATGTTTTATGTCCGTTTATAAAAGTGCACGTATAATACGGGACACATTCATGTTTGTATTACGGAAGCCTGAACATGACGACATGAAATATGAAGGAAGTTGATATGAGATTTTAGATGGCTACAGGTTTATAGACACACACACACACACACACACACACACACACACACACACACACACACCTCATTATACCACGTGTGATGCATAAACATGTCAACAGAATAAACACTCAGCCGACCTGTAATTGGAATACGAGCCAGATTTCTCTTTTTTATCTCAGACTCACTAAAACCATCACAGGTGACATTTCTGCTGTGGGATGAAGTCCCTGAACGCAACATGAAGGGTCCTTAAACACACCACCGATCAAACCTGTACTACTATTTAAAAAATGTACGTCATGACTCCAGTGACTCCGCTCGAGGAAGAGTAATGTTTCACATTAGAGGTATTAAATAGTTTTTATTTGAGGTTTAAAGTCTGGAACAACACCAACAATAAATGCTGCATGTTTCTTAAAGCAACAGAGTATTCCTTTAGTGAGCAAACGCAGCGTCTGTTCAGGCATCCATCAGCCTGTGTGTGTGTGTGTGTGTTCGTAGCCATGTGTTTGGCGTAGGTGCATTGCATATTCTGTCCTTTATTTCCGTACCATTTCAGCTATTCATCAGATACAGTATGTGCCTCTCTCGCCCTTCTGCTTCTCGCGAGACACACACGTGTGTGTGTGCGTGCAGAATGGTCTCACGCTCGGCTTGCTCTTTTCTCCTCCAAGCATTTCTCGAAAACCTCTGGCAAGTCTCTCTCTCTCTCTCTCTCTCTCTCTCTCTCTCTCTCTCTCTCTCTCGTGAAATAAGGTCAAACTACTAAAGTACTCTGATCTATTTAACAAAGTACTTCCTGAGTTATTGTTGCATAAATATGTAAATATTCTGAGAGAGGTATCTCTCTCTCTCTATAATACAGTATTTATTGTTCTGCTCTATTTGACAGCTTTAGTTTCTTTACGGATTCAGATTATTCATGCAAAATATAAATCAACAAATAAATGATGAAAATAGGTGAAACTATGAAAATATTTCATCCCTTCCCCCCAAACCAAAAGATTAGAAAGTGTGTTATCTTAACAACGTGCCACGAATCTATTCAGATGGAGAAATTGATGCAAAATATAATTTCATTCTCGTACAATAACTTCCTGGTTGGTCAACAAAAACCTAACTGTTCATAATGTGCAGACATCGACTCAAAAGGTATTAAGTTTGGTAAAGAACAGATTATGACTCGTTCAAGACTCCAAACTCAAAGTTATGACTTGAGACTTGTCAGTAACCTGTCAGTTGACTTGGGACTTGTCACTTTTGTTGTATTTTAAATCACCGGGTCCTCTGTTGTAAAAACCTCCTGAACTATGAACACCGACCAAATCCTGAGTGCAATGAAGACTCCCATGATGCAACGCTGCATCACTAAACTCTGCTGCGATGAAGACTCCCATGATGCAACGCTGCATCACTAAACTCTGCTGCGATGAAGACTCCCATGATGCAACGCTGCTTCACTAAACTCTGCTGCAATGAAGACTCCCATGATGCAACGCTGCTTCACTAAACTCTGCTGCAATGAAGACTCCCATGATGCAACGCTGCATCACTAAACTCTGCTGCGATGAAGACTCCCATGATGCAATGCTGCTTCACTAAACTCTGCTGCAATGAAGACTCCCATGATGCAATGCTGCTTCACTAAAGTCTGCACGTTGTTGTTTCTTCCACGACCGACCTAATGACAGCTGGTATGAAGGTATGAATGTACATCTCAGGTTTCACCACTACAGTGAAACAGCTTGTTGGGGAAAAGATGTCTTTTTTTATCCCGTAGTTTTGTCACCAAACATCTTCCGTACGTAACAGACGAGGATGAAGAGCAATGGCTCACTCAGGACCAATCCCATCAGCTCT